CTACTTTGTGAGCTACTGACATTAAAGTTGTGAGTGAGCGATTTGGCTACTGCATAAAGTAATTTGCTCTGGAGCCATCCCTTCCTGAGCGAAGACAAAAATCTGTGAGCTGGAGGCTAAAAAACTATGAGGTAGCTCACACTAACTCAGCTTAGAGGGAACACTGAATTGTGCAGATTTCTAACGGGGGGAGAGGGAGGGGAGGAGCTGATGCGTGCCCTTGGCTCGGGGGGGGGCCACAGGGTTCCGCCACCCCTATTTCTTAAACGGCCCAGAACTTGAGGGGAGACCCAGGTCTGGGCAGCGTTTGCTGACCTCCGTCCTTGGCGTTTGTAGTGAAGCTTTTTCCTTCCCGCTTTCTGAAAACCGGAGGAAGCTCCCTCCCTCACCACCTTTCCTGGCCGGTCCTCCTTGATTCCGTCTCCTGTGGGGGATTGCGATATCTTCTGGGAGCAGAAAGCGTAGCCCAAAGCCAGCCTTTTCAGAGTTTCTTAAATGCCCCCTCTTTGCCTCCTGTCTTGTGAGCCAAGCCAGCCTTCCCTTTGTTAACTTCCTTACGCATGGGGCTTGTAGGAGCCAGCCGTGGGGAAGGGAAGGGCTGCCCCCTATGATGGACTGCCTGTCTGGGGCGTCTTTGCAGCCCTTGGGTAGATCACGATTCATGTCTGTGGAGATCTGGGCTGGGGAGGGCCTCTTCCACAATCTTTCCTGCTTCCCCGTCCCTGTCTCTGCAGGAGTTTGACCCAGAGGAGTTCTACCACCTCCTGGAGGAAGCGGAAGGACACGCCAAAGTGGGGCAAGGGATCAAGACCGACATCCCCCGCTACATCATCAGTCAACTTGGACTCGCCAAAGACCCCCTGGAGGGTGAGGAGAGGAGGCAGCTGGGCTGGGGGGATAACAGTGAGGAGCCATGCTGGGCTGGTCGGCCGTGGCCCGGAGGCTGGCGGTTCAGGCTTCATCTCAGGCCCAAACTCGTCAGGTGGGCCCTGCTCTTGGCCTCAGTCCCTCATCTGCAGTAAGGGGCAGTTTGGTGCAGTGGTTAAGTGCGCGGACTCTAATCTGGGAGAACTGAGAACTTGATTCCCCATTCCTCCACTTGCACCTGCTGGATGACCTTGGGCAAGCCGTAGTTCTGTCAGAGGTGTTCTTGAAAAAGAGCCGTTTGTGTCAGAGCTCTCTCAGCCCCACCCACCTCACAGGGTGCCTGTTGTGGGGAGGGGGAGGGAAAGGAGCTTGTAAGCCGCTCTGAGACACCTTTGGGTAGTGAAGGGCGGGGTATAAATCCAGTCCTCTTCTTCTTCTCTTCTCATCATGCTGCTCTACCTTGCAGGGCTGCTATTAGAAGTTAGTGATGCCCTTTGAGCACTGCTCAGGCTATGTCTCGCAGGGCGAAGATTCTCTTTCTCTGCTGTTGTCACTTCAGACGCAGAGGCGTTTGCGCTGGCAGCAGAGTGTCCACACGGCTGTTTGACATGCCCTTTCCTCCGTGGGCTGCCATGTCCTCCGTGGGATTTAGTCTCCCCCTGTCCCTTGTGCCACTGGAGGGATCCATTGCTGCGAGCTACTCTGTGTGACTGTTAAGTGGCCTCAGGTTGCTTCCAACTTAACAACGACCCTATGAATTAATGAAGAAAAAGAAGAGTAGGTTTTTATAGCCCACTTTTCTCTACCTTAATTAGCCTCAAAGTGGCTTCCAATCGCCTTTCCCTTCCTCTCCCTACACCTTGTGAGGCAGGTGGGGCTGAGAGTGTTCTGAGAAACCTGTGACTGTCCCAAGGTCACCCAGCAGGCTTCAGGTGGAGGAGGAGTGGGGCATGCATCAAAGCCAGCTCTCTAGACTAGAGTCCGCGGCTCTTAACCACTATACCATGCTGAATTAATGTCCTCCAAAACATCCTCTTGTGAACAGGTCTTGCAAACTGAGGGCCTTTGTGGCTTCCTTGATTTGAGTCAATCCACCTCATGTTGGATCTCCCCCTTTTCCTGCTGGCTTTAACTTTCCCTGGCATGATGGTCTTTTTCAGTGACTCTCGTCAACCAAATTTCTCTGAATTCCCAGCTTTCATTGGGGGAAAAAAAGATTTCTCAGACTTTTCATTGGAGTGATATAGGGGGAAAGGTCCAACTGCAATGAAAAGAACTAGATTGTGGCAAATCATTTGTTATAACATGATGACGCTATAGTGACCGCTAGAGATTTGAAGGCCCGGAAAAATTCAGAAAAAAAACGTTTTTTCCCTGAAGCCTTTTTTGTTTTTTCCCGAAAAATTGAAAAAGAAAAGAAAAGAAATTGATTATGGAACGTTTTATTTTAACATGATGAATAAAATATTTTAAGACAAGGTGTTCAAATATTTTCCAAATCATTTCTAAATATATATATATATATGGTATCAGATTGATCTAATTTCTGTGCACTGAGGACAAGCAAGTCCTAGGTTACAAACTGAACTCTCCAATGCAAGAACATGATGCATTTCTTCCTTTAGGAGGTGCTATTGTCAGAAGAAAATAAAAAGGTTTCAGTTTTGTTTTTGCATGTTTTTCCGAGCTTCAAAATTTCCGGAAATTTTACATCTCTAGTGACCGCACAAGTCCTGTTTTAAACATACCTCTGGTGGGGGAGGCAGGAAGATGGCAGCTCAGGGGGCTGAGGCAAGGAAAGTCATTCCAATGCGGGCACCCCGCTTTCACCCCACAAGGCATGCAGGCATGCTTCTACCGTAACCTTTTTGTAAAGGTCTAATCAAACTGAGTTTCGGAAGGATTGGAGCCCAGCAGGGGGAAACCCGGGAAGCGGAGGATGTCGTAGGGGCTCTCCAGAATAACCCACTCTGGGTTGCATGCCCAGCCGGAGCGAAGCCTCCGTGCAGACATGTCCCTGATTCCTCGTTGCTTTTCCTGGGCGGATGCGGCCGTCGGTGTCACTGAGGATTCTCTCTTTTCCCAGAAATGGTTCAGCTCGGCCAGATTGACTGCGGCTCCCCCACTGGGCTGGAGAAGCAAGAGGATAGCCTGGAGGTGAGGCCCTGCCGTCCTTGTCTTTCGAGCCTGTCGGGTGGGTGCAGCAGCAGAAGGGCCTGGCTGGAAGGGCCCCCCCCCGCCCCCCGGTCAGCCACAGTAGAGCCTTCGTGTGTACTAGCGGCCGATAGGCCAAGATGGCCAGGCATGCCGGTGGGGCGAGTTGGACAGCAGAGTCTCACTACGAGGCGAGAGACAGAGGCAGAGCTATTTTGGGGCAGGAACGCACAGGAACGGAGTTCCGGCTGGCTCCTGAGTTAGCCACGCCTAGCAGGAATTCATTAGCATAATAGGCCACACCTCACAGCAGAAACTCATTAGGATTGGCTACATTAGGGTGTGTGGTCTAACATGCAAAGAAGTTCCTGCTACAAAAAAAGCCCTGGGTTTTGACAACAAACAAGGTAAACAGAATAAGAAGCAAAAGGTGAGTGTGGTGACATGGGGGTGTGGCCTAATATGCCAATGAGCTGTGATGTCAGGGTGTGGCTTAATATTCTAATGATTTTCTGCTGTTGGGTGTGGCCTATTATGCTAATGAGTTCCTGCTGGGCTTTTTCTACAAAAAAAGCCCTGGACAGAGGCATGGATGCTTCGATTACATTTGTCTCCTGCACCTTAAGGAAAATGACTGGGGAGGGGTGGGTGTATGCGCGTCATGCTTACAAGAGCAAGGAAGGATGGAAGCCACAGTGAGGGAGCTTCGTCACTCCATCCTGAGTCTCCTCCTGTACAAAAGTGGACCCCACTCACATCTCTCAAACCTGCCAGTGGGGTGTGCAGGCATGGGTGTGCTTCCCTGGCAAATGTCTGCAGACCAGCACCGGATCTCCTGCCTTGGTCGGGGAGGCACAATGCGCCCTCTGGGGGTGGTTCCCGTAGCTGCAGTCCCGTGTGCTGCCCCCCCCCCAGGCTTGTCTGTGTTCTCCCAGTCGCAGGCGGTGAGCACCTGGGATGGCCTTTGGTCAGTCTGGCCCCCTTTCGGCAGGTCAGGGCCTCAGGCAGAGGGCCATCATTCCCAGCGCTTGCAGCTGGGGATCGGTTTGGCCTGGAGTTGCCTGCAAGCTTCTGCATGCAACGGAGGGGAGCTGCCCTCCAGTTGTGGCCCCAGATTCCCTCTTCACTGGTGCTGGAAGAAACACAGCACACACTGGGGCAGGCACAGATCAGAGCACTTACCCCCCCCCCCCCCCCCCAACGACCCGGACCGCCGCCCCCGTGCCTCGGAGGAAGCCCTGCGAGAGTGATTTTGAAACCATCAAGTTGATCAGTAACGGAGCATATGGGTGAGTTGCATGTCTGGACCGGCCTGCTGTTTTCTGCTTTCAGTGGAAAGTTGCTGTCCTGACCGGAAGGGAAGGGAAGAGGTTGTTGCATGGAAAAACACTTGTGCAAATTGACCCCAGGTCTTGGTCGCTATTGACCCCAGGTCTTGGTCACTACGGTGGCTCAAAGTGGTTAAGACGCTGAACTGCAGGCTGTGGGAGGTCGGTAGTTCAGCAGTTCGAGACCCGAGTGTGCCGCATGACGGAGTGGGCTCCCGTCTCTAGTTCCAGCTCCTGCCAACCTAGCAGTTCGAAAGCAAGAAATTGCAAGTAGATAAATAGGGACCGCTTCGGTGGGAAGGGAACAGCGTTCCGTGCGCCTTGGTGTTTAGTCACGCCGGCCACATGACCACGGAAACGTCTTCGGACAGCGCTGGCTCTTCGGCTTGGAAACGGAGATGAGCACCGCAGCCCTAGAGTTGGACTCGACTGGCTTTCGAGCAAGGGAACCTTTACCTTTACCTTGGTCGCTGGAGGGCCAAGGCTGTGTTCTTATCGGTGATGATAAATGCACGATTATTACACCTACAACGCCAGGGGGGCCGGCAGTTCTCACCGCAACCCTCAGGAGGACTTCCTCGTTTTACAGATGGGAGGCGGAGGGTGAGAGGGTGTGACTCGTGCACTACTGCCTAGTGGCGGTCTGGCGGATCAGGGCCCTTGTCTCCCAACCGAGGGTGGTTGGGAGGGAGGGAGGGAGGGAGGTCACAGTTGTCAAGTCCCCTGGAGTGGCCGTCATGGCCTCTAGCTGCCTGGCCCACTCTTCGGCTCGACCCGGCGGGGAGGTGTCTCCCTGGGGGGCCTCTCCCAGCTCCTCTCTCCCCTTCCTAGGGCTGTCTACCTGGTGCGACACAAGGAGACCCGCCAGCGCTTCGCCATCAAGAAAATCAACAAGCAGAACCTAGTGCTGCGGAACCAGATCCAGCAGGTCTTCGTGGAGCGTGACATCCTGACCTTTGCAGAGAACCCCTTCGTGGTGAGCATGTTCTGCTCCTTTGAAACACGGCGCCACCTCTGCATGGTCTTAGAGTACGTGGAAGGTGAGTCTGCGGAGCTAGCAGGCGTTTGTGATATTTTCTGACACTGGGCAGGGAGGTGAAGAGAGCAGGAACGGATGGATCTGTCTGCCCAACTTTGGGGGGGGGATAGGGCTGAAAGGGAGGGGCTGGTCCAAGGTCACCTGCCAGCAGCAAGACTGACTCCCCTCCCCCCCCCTTACACTTGACTGGCTGTATTACAGTGGCTCTCTGTTGTGGAAAGCCAGTTTGGTGTAGTAGTTAAGAGTGGCAGACTCTAAGCTGGAGAAATGGGTTCAATTCCCCACTCCTCCACTTGAAGCCAGCTGGGTGACCTTGGGTCAGTCACAGTTCTCTTAGCCCACTGTAAGCCTCACTCGCCATAAAAGAGCTAGACCTTCTGGCTGCCAGACAGTCTTAGGCTCTCCTGGCTGTACTGCACACACCCTGCCATACGATGATTAATTAATTAATTCTCTGGTGTGGCCATAGTCATAGAGGCTGGAGGGCTGTCCATCCTGAGAGAGATTTGGTCTAAGGAGACTGTCTTCTTCCCCCGGGGTCATCATGGGCATTCAGCACTTCTGCAGTTCCGCCGTCTTATGTCCTGTAGTTGGCTAGTTCCTAGTCCTTATGGCAGTGGAAAGCAAAGGGCATTGGGGTGGAACCTGAGAGGCATCGAGGCGGATGTTCTGGTGTCTCTGCCTGGCTCCCAAACCTCCACACTTCTCGGCCCCTTTGTTAACGTGGTGTTTGAAGCCAAGAAGTATCACAGAAACTAAACTTTGGAAAAGGGGAATGAAGTTGAGGCAATGATGCGATGTGGGCAAACATTTTCAATTTATTCAAAATGCACAAGATCGGCAAGCAGGAGGAATTCCAGGGAATGCTTTGCCTTCCGGTAATTCTTCACTGCCTGGCGCGAGGCATTTACGAAGCTAATTAATAGCTTAAATACTGTTTTTTTAAAAAAAAGATTCAGAAGAAGTTCAAATAAATTCAGTTAAGTATCCTAGACTACAGGACAATATCACGAAAAGGGTTCCCCCCAAAAAAAAATCCACAGAAATTAAAGTATTCCAAGGACACCAGATGATTTTTTTAAAAAATCTTTCACTCGATATGAGGCAGCCTCTTGGGGCACTTTGGGGAGCCAGTTCTAAAGCTCCAGTGTGCCCTCAGTGGCTCCTTCCTTCAGCTTGTTCTTCCTTCTGAAGAACTCCTCCTGTCCTGCAGGGGGCAGGATCGCCTAGCCTGGAGAGGAGAGGCCAGCATGCCAGGCTGCAGTTCTTGGCAGAAGGGGTGGGATCAAGAAACCCACAAAACCAGATAATAAGCATCTGCCTCTGCCAGGTGGGGACTGTGCTACGCTGCTGAAAAACATGGGCCCCTTGCCTGTGGACATGGCCCGGATGTACTTTGCAGAGACGGTGCTGGCCCTGGAATACCTCCACAATTACGGCATCGTCCACCGAGATCTTAAGCCAGACAAGTAAGTGAGGTGGAACGTCAGCCGTGAATCTATGGCCAGGGAAACTCTTGTTTCCCCCCCAGTTAATAGGCTGCCCCTGGGAGAATATGGTCCTTCCTCCAACAGCTGCATCTGTGGTGGTTTGTAGCAGTCTGCTCATCTCCTCAGCACCTATTGGACAGTTCCCATGACTTCACAGACATTACAAAGATATCCCTACCCAAAAATGTGTGTGTGTGGTGTGTGCACCATTTTATTTAAAAAGCTGCATTTCCCCCCTTTTTCTGTAGAGGCTTACTGCCCTCCCTGCATATTGATTTCCCCCCCTTAACACTTTTAACCCACTTGGTGGTCCCAAAAAAGACCCTGCAAGGAGCTGCAAGAGGTCAAGTAAAAGGTGCATGGAAGCGGACTTTTGAGTCAAACGGTGCCCCTCCTGGGTGGGAAAGCATCCCTGTAGCCTCTAGCCAAAACAGAGCCCTCCTTCCCCTGCAGTGGCTTCTTCCTTTGGTGACCAACGTTCTTTCTTGGCAGTCTGCTGATCACCTCGATGGGCCACATTAAGCTGACCGACTTTGGGCTCTCCAAGATCGGTTTGATGAACATGACCACAAATCTCTACGAGGGCCACGTTGAAAAGGACATGCGGGAGTTTGTGGACAAGCAGGTGAGATGCAGACAGGCGAAGGGGGGGGCTGCCTTGGATGCCCCCGGAGGCTTTAGCAGCTCGACAGGAGGTAGCTGGTGGTGGTCTGTGTTCTGGTGCAAAAGAGGTGAGCCTCAGAAAGTGACCCGGCTTATTCTCTGAAGCGCTTTGGATCTCTGGCTTAAGAGCCTTTCAGCAGGTACTAGATGTAAATTATTAGACTGTTTTTCCCTCCCCAGAGGGAGAAAGGCATCCTCATTGAAGAGTCACATGTGACCAGGAATTAACCTCTGGTGACTTAAACCATGCAGGCAAGCATGTTGTGAAATCTCCCACGGATTCCCAGAGCGGGGGGGGGGGGGGGGGCGGGGCGCCGCGCCCCGTGACT